CCGGTCCCTCCCCCCCACGGCCAAAAAAAACCCCGGCTAAGGGTCTACTGAATAATAGGCTTACTTTTGTGTTAGGTGGAAGCTTAACAGTGCAGATATTTGGATCTTCTCCTAGCGAACCTAGAGAGGCTGGGTAATATATTAATTGTTTCAGACAAGCAAAAGCTTCCAAACACGCTCTCTACTTCACCAGTTGTCACCAGCTCCAGGAAGGATACATTCGATATACTTAGGAAGTAAGCCCATAAATCTAATATGTTAGTTGATCTAAATCAGTGCCAACCCTATATCTCACTTTCAGTAGATTTCTCTAAATTCACAATGTATAGAGAACCTAGGCGGTGTATTTGGATAATTGGCTTGGATAAGATATAATTTCTTTTTTTATATCCTAACTTATCTAAGTCAAACTTACTCATCCACTTTAAAATCTTAACCTAAGGTTATATTCAATCCTAATCTTCGTTTAGAAAACAAATGTATAATTCAATGGACCCCATAAATTACATAAATAATTTTATAATAGTTTACCATTCTACCCACGACTCTTATCCATTCCAATCCAAACTAATCTTATCCTATGTTTGGTTAACCCATCCAAGCTTAATAAAATTATACATTTTCCACATATACACAAAAACAAATAAAAATAAGGAAAGTTAGATATATATATATTTTGGTTTTGGTATTTTTTTTTCCAAACAAATCAACACGTTATTTCATTTCTTAAAAATTGATTACAATGGGAGAAAGGCAAACAAGCTTGCCTTAAACCAAAATGATAAAGCAACCAAAGAACAAACTGTTCTGAACAAAATACAAGAAATGGCTTAAAACCATATTACACTATATTCCTGCATGTTAGTCTCCTCATAGAAGCAACCTGCCAGACAATGGCAGAATGCCATTTGCCGAAAAATCAGTATCTGCTCAATTTGGACAGCAAATGAGGCAAGGAAATCAGCAATCACATTGGCCTCCCTGTATATATGCCTCAGCTGATACTGCAATCTGCCAAGCAGCTTCCAGATTTGCTCCTGAGCTTGTAAACAAAAGCCAAGAACAATCAAGACCACCCAAAACTCCAATATACTCATTTCAGCAAACAACAAACTTCTTTACACGGTCGAGAGAGCTTGGTAAAAGTCAAGTTCCAGTAAAGCCAATGAGGTAAACCTTTTTTTTTAATGATCAAACCACATACCAGCAAGACAACAAAAGAATTTACAAACTAAATGATGGGTTTGTTCCACAGAATTAGAATGGTTCAAAGATGAACAATCAGAGCTAAAGGGAAATGAAAATATTACCTGTTTCCACAAAGAGAAATATAATGCTTTTCAGTCTCCAAGGAACCACTCTTCCCCNCAGAGCTAACGGGAAATGAAAATATTACCTGTTTCCACAAAGAGATATATAATGCTTTTCAGTCTCCAAGGAACCATGCTCTTCCCCAAAACCATTTGAACTAATACCTGAGAATCAAATTCAATCAAATACAACCTTGAGCACAAATTAAGAACATGGCAAACGAATGAAAAGGAAACCATTAAATCTTTGGAAACCATTAAACCAAGACTGTTCCCAACAATTCATACTCTTCGCCAATGGGAAATTCGACCAACCATTTTTACAAGGGCATAACATATACAAACTGAAAACATTGACAGTCCATATTATTCCAGTCAACCCAAAAAATCATGTACAAAATCAAGGTATATGTCAAAATACATTAGAATCAAATATGTATACCAGGCCACCATGTTGATTCAATGGTGTGATTGCAATGCCAAGCGGATAAACTTGCATGAAGACAAACCCATTTTGAAATGAAGAAATATATCATTTCACCAGTAAACCTGATGAAGGAAAGCCAAGTTAAATCAATTCTACTTTTGTAAACTCTAGAAGGTAAATTTTGATTACCCAAGAACAACAGAAGCTACATTGAAGGGTAATAAATTCAAGGCTTCTTAGAATCACCAAAAGAATACTAAATTCTAATGCCCTATGTCCTGAGTGTTTATTCACCTCAAATTTCTTCATAAAACTAGTGCACTACAATCATTACATTTTATAGTTTCCTCATGTGAAGGTATCTTTAGTTTGAACACATATATTGGTGCTCAAACACAAACACTTACACAAAGGATTGACAATTTCAATTAAAATATTAAAACTTTTGGGTATAAAAACAAGGTACAATATAACTCAGGATAATATTGTATAAACTAAGCAGAAAATATAGCAGTTAAATGAACTTCAAAATGGAGAGTCAATGGATATATTGCAAATACTGAATGCATTATATTTGGTGCATGTTGTGCTTGAGCAACCCCAATGAGTTTCTCCTCATTGTATCACTTTGAAAATTAAGCAACATACGACATTCTTATTTGAGTTCCACGTACGACACGCCACACTCACCAAAACAAATTGACATTATGAGTAGTCTCAATAATCAAAAACCTTCTCAAACAATGCAATTGCAAACAATCCATGTATAGTAAATAGCTATATGATGTGTAGGAAATTAGGAAAGTAATATGATGTGTAGTAAATGCTTGGCACCCTCTGATCCGAGGTGAATTAAAACCCGAGGAGAAGCACCTATGTTCAGCTGATGATTCATTTAGAACCCCCTTGTGGCTTGTGATCTTTATTATCTTCAACAGAAGACGATAGTCTCCTGATGATATTTGCGACCCTGAGCCTCTCGCTCTCTTTTGCATCCAAATCTCTGCTCCTGGAAGAAGGTGGACCGCTCATAGCTGCCCTATCAGATTCCCAATCACAAATGAGTCCTCATTCAATGTTGGAGTTTCATATCTTCCATCAACAAACTCACAGGCATCAGAATTTCTTTGCGGCACTTCAACAAATGATGATGAAGCATTATTTTCTGTAAAAGTCGACCTAGAATAGCTTCTGCTGTTGCAAAAAGGTGAATTGTTTGAATTCAAGCTCTTTTCCTTAGCCTCAAAACCTCTCCATCTTTGGACAAGGGTAGAAACACCACCCAGATGAGGAATTTCAATAGGACCATTTGACAGAAAAAGAGACAAAGAACGATAAAAAAAACTTTCAATTTTCTATGATTATTGTTGCTATTGTTGTTATTGTTGCTGGCATTGGAGCAGTGCAAATTTAAATGATCGTTATTCTGTTCGCTGCGAACCCAGAAATTGGCAGTTTTAGGATTGTCATTGGACTCGGAATTAGAGTTTGTGGGTGAACCTGAAATGTAGGAATGGAGGTGGTTTTGGACCAATTCTTTGCTCGTACTGAGAGAGAGTCAATGAGAGTGAAGAGAGGTAGATACATAGAGAGCCGATGAGAAGAAGCTTACCGCGATTGCAGTCGACGATCGTCAGTGACCTGCTTGGAACTGATCTACTTGGACGAAAGTGACGGATCCTTCGGTAGGGTATAGCAAAATATCTAAGAAAGAAAGAGGGTAAGTCTCTCTTTTTACCTGATTAACCTGGGGGGTGGGATTGTAACCCAGGGGCTGGGTGGGTTACAGTTAACCCATGTACATTGGATAATTTTTACTGTAGCATTCGGGTCAATGTTTGACCCGGCATTCATAACCTATCTCATTTTTCAATTGCCAAATAATAGATATATGAGACCGACTTCATTGTTAAGCTATCCTCAAGACTCTTAACCCAATACCCAAACACACCCATGAGGTTTTAAAGTTTTACCCTTTCCTATACATGTATATGTCAACATGAACAAACTATGTTGGTGCCCTTTTTTAGAAAATAAAAGATTTGGAGAGCTTTCTGATTTACAGTGTAGCTATTCTGAAACAAAATTGATGTCATACTGACGGTTGCCTAATATTCCTAATTGAAAACTTATATAAATTTGCAAAAGAAAAAAAATACATACGAAAAAGTGTAAGAGAGAAAAGAAGTTTGCTACTCCTATATTCTGTCATACTAAAAACTAGGTACAAGAGATTATATATAAAATTCTACTACAAGAGAAAGACTTGAATATCCCTAATGATAAATAAACACACATATAGATACAATCTTAACATTCTTCCCCTTTTCCCCCTAAAATTCATGATGTGACAGTAGGAAACATCTAGGCTTTGTGTAGAAAAAATAATAACATAACATAGTATGTAACTTTGTGGAAAAGTTAGTCAATTACATAGAAAAAGAAACAAAAACAAGGAAATAGTATCAAGTTGAAGATGGTGGCTCATAAAATGGCAATCGATCTCAATATGGTTTGTCCACACTTGAACAGAAATTTGTGTAGTCTAAATGACACTCTATTGTCACCATACATAAAGTTAAGCGCAAAAAAGAAAATGCTTAGATTGACAAGTAACAATCTCAACCTTAGTATTTCTAACATAGTAGTAGTCATAGTATGACATTCAACCTTAGCAATGGAGCAAGCGACAACTGTTTGTTTCTTAATTCTCTAGGAAATTAGAGAATCACCCAAAAAAAATACATAAACCAATTATGGATTTTAGTGAACTGTAAACTTTTAAGAAGTAGAGGAGAACAATAAACTTTGATATAAAGTACCTCATAGATAACGCATAATAAGAAGAATTGTAATTTAGTGAACTGTAATCGGATAATATCATCTACATATTTTTACTAAGAAAGAAAATAATCCTTAGATGACGAAATATAGTGAAGGACACTATGATTCTTTATCCCAAACTATTGTTGTAAATGAGCATTCAGAATTTAAGTAATCATCCCCAATAATAATCATATGATAAACATATAACAAACGAACAATCTGACCAGCGAAAGTAGAACGAAAAAAAGAGCAGAATCATAATCACTAAAACGAAAACTCATGTCGTAAATCACAGAAGATAACTTTGAGTCTGTTTGAGACCATACAAACCTTTTCGAAGTTTCCACACCTTACGAAGAGCATAAGGCAGACTAGGGGAGGAACTATAAAAACCTCTTCAGCCAAATCAATATTCAGAAAAGTATTATTGATATCCATTTAAGATAGTTTCTATTGATGAACAACTACTATGACAATTAATGTATGAGCGCTGGTTATCTTTGCAACATGAGCAAATTTTTTCTCATAATCAATGTCATATTCATTCGCAAAATCCTTGGCAACAAATTTGACCTTACATAATTTGACAGAATCATAAACCTTAGTTTTAACCTTGTATAACCATCAAAAACCAACCATAGGCTTATCAATAGGTAAAGGCACAAGATACTATGTCCTAGTTTCATGTATTGTAGAAAGTTATTTTATTCATAGCATGTTTCTAAATGGGATCAAGAGCAACCTCTTTGTAGAAGTTAGGTTCAGACAGAGAGTAAATAGAAGATAAAAATCATAAGAATAACAAGTTTAAGAAAAACCATGGCGATCAGAACACTTACGAATGTGCCTAGGATAGTAAGAAGAAGGAGGATCTGCATGGTAATTCACATTTTGGTTTGCTTTATAATGATTTCATCTTTGAATCAAAGTTGAAATATGCATTGTTATGATTCATATTAGAGGATTGAGAACTTAGTGATATAAATCTTAGTGCATGATCCATGAGCCAAAGTCTTTTCATCATAGCGTGTTTGAATCGTGTTTAACTTTGAAAAATTCATAAACCAAGTGCATGTCATCCATTCACTTTCGTAATTATGAGTCTTTTTATTTTAAACAATTAATGACATTACGTGACTCTAAGTGTTAGTTATAGCTCCTAATCGATGCACAAGGATCATTCAGAGGCTCTTTTCCTTCAATGTTATCTTCGGAGCCCCCACTAATAAAACCATCACTTCAAAGATGTCAAAGGCCAAATGTGAGGAAAAATAGCCCAACGTGACAAATCTTTAAAAGGTGAGATATAAAATAAATGGCTAAGAACAATGGCACTTGAATTGTTGAAAGTACTTATGCTTAAAATTCATTGCTCATTTGTAAAACTCAAAGAGCTCATGCTAAACACACTTAGAAGCATATTGATGAAGTATGAAATTTGCAATCGTGCTAATTGAATTTGTAAGAATAAGGGATAAAAGATGGGGGAGTTGTCTAAAAGAAAAATGATTATAACACTCTCCAACTGGTCATGTATTCACTAAGATGATGCATTATGATTTCATGTAGAGCTATTAATGATTTGAACTAAACGGAATCCTAATTGTGTCGAAATTTGGTTTCACACACGTTGCATTTGAATTAGTCAAAGTTGAACAAAATTTGAACACGTGTGAGTAAAATTAAACTAAGTGAGGGAACTTTACTCTAGAATACATAACATTGAGTTCAGTTTTCTTGAATATACCTTTGAGTAATGTTGAGATAATGAAATGCAAAAGTAGTCATTATAATATAAACATTTGTGATTTTCATGATTAATGACACTGTGCATTTTAATGTTTAATTGAAAATTGCATTACATTTGCATCCAATTTCATCCATGCATGTGCATGTAGTTACATTTAAGTTGTACATACACTCATGTATGATTTTAAGGCTATAGAAGTATTTGCGAATCATTGAAAATATATGATTGAATCCCTTAGGCTATCCAGTCACTACTTTTGATCCATTGCACTTCTAAGTAAGAAGAAGGAGTCCAAGTCACCCTAATTTGGGCATTTGGACTGTGTCATGTAGCCACTAGAGCTGCTTAGAAGACTAAGTATAGGACCATATGAGAGTTTGAGTGTTTTATTCATTCATTGTCTATAGTTGGAAGTACTCTTTTTTTTGTTGACTTTGACTTGTTTTGCTATTTTTCATTTGTTGTGACATATTCTTAGTCTTTGTTATTTGATGCTTATTTAGTTAGACTTTTAGTTATATGTCTTGTTTTTCTTTTGCTTGCTTTGCATACCTATTTTAACTAGTTGGTCTGTATTTATACCTTCTTGTTATACTATGATTCTATGTCGTTTGCATTATATTGTGATATGTCATCGATTTAACACTTTGTGACAAAAAGGCGAGAATATTTTGGATACATATGGGAGAATTTGGGGAGATATTCTCTTAACTAACTTAGGTAAGTTGCATGTGAATAGAGTAAGTGAGAGTTAGTTATAATACTGTAGGGGAGTACATCTACAAACTTGGCTTTAAGTAACCTATTTTACACTTGTTATTTTATTTGTGAACGCCAACTAAGGGGGAAAAATAGTTGTGCATTGTCAAACTATATCTAAAGGTTCCCAAACATTGTGGGCAAAATAGTTCTTACATGTGTTACATGTTTGCACTTACATAACGTTCACATGAATATGTCATACGCTTAACTTGGTGATTTTCATACCTCTGATTATGTTATATCTTTCATACATATTATGTATTTCATAAAGTATTGCTTTATTTATAATTCTTTCTATCCAATGGTTTTTAGGACTATAATCTGGATTTCTTATTTGTGCATTTTGTCCCTAAATTGTCAAAGAAGGAGATTGTTAGATCATATTTTGTTATTGACTAATTTCGTGGAGACCTTTATAAACCTCAACCTATTCTATAGTCATGATGCTACATCGATGAAGATATAAAAGCATCAAATGAAAGGGAGGAGATCATGCTTCAAGCTATATCAAATGATCTCTCTATATGCACCTTCATACTTAGGACAAAGGTAATGGCCTTACCTTAGAGACCTAAGATGATCCCTTAATTTAATAGACTAATGAGGAGGATTGGAGTTAAAATGGAATTGGTATTAGATGCCAGAATGACTCTTAATTGTTCTTCAAAGAAATGGTGTTTTAAACCTTTTGTGTGTTTTGAAAACATAGAATTGAGCCATCATCGAATTCCTCTTGAGCAACACTTTTTAGTGTTCAAGAGGACAATTTTTTACATAGTTTTAGGCTTAAAAAGTTAGTTGGGACCGCCCTATACTCGCTAGCCTTGACTAGATTGATCTCTTTATGACTTAGGAAAATATCAAGCAAAGGATCGATTGGTCTTCTGGTCGGTCGAGTGGTCTTGCTCTCCTAGGTCTGTTTGGAATTCATTTTTCATTCCAGTGACCATTGCTCGAGCATTCGTTCACGAATTTGTGTTTTATTGTTGACCAAGATTACCCTTATTTCAATCCTATGAATAGGAAAAACCTTTCCTACACCTAGGGTAAGCCTCTTGTGAGTATTTTGAAAGAGAAATCTTGTGAGTATTCCAGACCATGACAGCTTATACCACAACCCTAGATACTTAAACATAAAGGCTACCATCTAACAAATCTCATCCAACTCCATAACTTGGAGAAGATAAGTTTGATCGGTTAAAGACCAAACCCACTGGAAGTGTGCATACCGAGGTTCATGGGTGCATCCTATGAATGTTCAAGGCCTAGAGGATCCATTGCGATAAAACATCCAAGTG